CCCCCGCCAAGAAAGGCTGTCCTCATTTCCTTCAGCTGCCACCCCTCCTCTGGGGCCTCCAGGCCTGAGCCCCTGGTCCCTCTAATGCAGGGACCCGCAGGCGACAGCCAAGAAGCAAATCTGGCCTGCGCCCATCGCTGTTAATAAAGTTTTACTGGAACACCACTGGGCTCTCTGGTTCACATCCGTCTGTGGCTGCTCGCACACGGGCCTCAGCGACAGAGTCACACAGTTGCATGAGTCCTCACAGCCTGCCAAGCTGGGAGTATTTACCGGCTGGCCCTTACAGAGAAGGCTGTGTGATCTAACACCTACATTCCCAATGTCACCGTGCTGGGCTCTCGGGTGGAGAGAGACTTCAAAGACACCCCGCGGCCCCCTCGCTGCCCACCTGGGGCCGCCTGCCATCCTGAGGAACCCACCCACCCACCACGCTGACCTTGCTTCCTCTCTGTTCTCCCCACAAGGAGGATGTTACTTTGTATGTGTCTGGACCACGTGGTGAGACTGTGGACCACTCGTGTGCTTTCAGTGACGGGGAACTCACTCCCTCACTCCTAAAGCAGCCGGCTGCATGCTGGGACGGCCCTTTCCTTCTTTGCCCCCCCTCCCTCACCCACCCCACCCGAACCTGCTGCACCTCTTAGGGGTCATGTGGGGGAGGGTCCTTCCGGGGCTCTGCGGGCAGGGGTGCAGCAGGTGTGGGTGGAAGCCTGACCGAGGGTCTGGGTCAGGACACCCTCCCCCCACCTTCCTGGCCCCAGGGTACTCAGCAAAGAACACGAAACCAGAAGTGTAATTCTGAATGATTTGGTCCTTCCGGTTACCGCCCTGGTCTAAGGGTAACTGCTTTATGGGCTCAGGGCTCCCGCCCACACAGACAGGAATCCGTTCCCTAAAGGATGGAGGGGTGGCCAGGAGGAGGAGGAGGAGGCAACGAGGCCAGGCTTGCCCGGGACTTCCCCCCGTTCCTTCCAGCGGCTCATATCCTGGGGACCTTGCCCTGGGCCCCGTGCTCAGGACAGGCTCCTGACAAAACACAGAACTGGCTTGGGTTTTGCTGAGCACGTATTACGTCCCAGGCACTGTCACCAAGTCCCCACACCGCCCCTGAGCTCTGGTCCTCTGGGTATCAGCCCCATTTGCAGACGAGGAACCGAGGCTCATACATCCTGGCTCACGTGCCCCAGGCCGCAGGGTTAGGCTGAGCGGCCGGCACCCAAGTCCCACGCCCAACCCAGGACGGTGCTGGCGAGTGGTACCTCTAGGCCTGCCACACACACACCGCCCCAGAGCAAAGCAGCCACGTTCCGTGGGGCGTGTGACCTCGTGCGCGGCTCCAGGGCCGGTAAGACCAGGAGCTGTGTGCAGCTGAGGTCCCCTCTGGCCCCAGGGAACCCCTCACTCCTGAGGCCGGGAGACACCCGGTTCGGACAGCGCCCGCGTCCACATCTTGCCCCCGCCCACGGTGTGAGCGGACCCTCGGCTTCTCGGTTTCCTCTTCTGGACGCGAGGATGACAGAGGCCACCCCCGGGGCGGGGCCGAGGATAAACAAGCTCATACACACACAGGCCTCAGAGAGGGGCTCCTGGCTCCAGGTGGGGGAGGGGGGGCTGGGACTGACAGGGTCGTCCTCAGCACCCCTCGCCCCTTCCCTGGCCACGGCAGCCAAAGACATCTTGCTCGGGGGACAGAGGAGGGGAGGCCTCGCCCGCAGACCTAGATCCTGCCCCCGGGAGTGGGCTAACGTGACTGGAGGGCCCTCCAGGAAGGCGCGTCTCCAGCGTCAGCAGAGGCCCCTGTGGAACCCAGAAAGGCGGCCCTCGCCCCCCGCCCTTGCCCTGCCCACAGCGCTGTGCTCTCGAAGAGCCAGGCGTCCCCACCACAGTAATGGAGGCCACTGGTTCGCCCACCAGACACGGCAGGCTCGCTCCTCCTTGACTCGTGCTGAGCCCTGTGCCTGGGACGGCCTTCCTCCCCGGGCAGACCAGCAAACTCCTACCCGTCCTTCAAAACCCTGCTCAATCGTCCTGACATCTGGAAAGCCTTCTCAGAGCCACTGAGGCAGAGATGGAGACCTCACAACATGCTCAGCAGGGCCCGGCTCACTGTCATTGCTGCGATCAACTCGGGGCCCCTTGACAGCCGCGATCCCCTGCTGTCACGGTCCGGTGTGGCGTTTTTGGGAAAACTCGCTCCAAGCAAAGATCCCAGGGTGCACACGGCCCGTGAGGTACCCCTCTGCTCGTCAGCGCCGGGGAGAAATCGGGTTCGGGGAAGTGTCACCCGCTGGGATGTGCGTCTCCTGAAAGTCCCGGGGCAGCTGGCGTCAGGGGAACCGAACGAGTTCTGGGCCTGGGCCTCGTCGGTCCCCCTCCGCAGGCTCCCCCAGAGCCCCCGGGGACACAAGCCGCTGGCAGGGTTGTTTCCGCCAGCATGGCCCTGTCCAGGCGGGTCCCTGCCGAGCCCAGATTTGGGGCGGGGTGGGCCCCCGGCCGTCTGCTGACCCCGGCGCCCGCCCCCAGCACTCCCACCAGCTGAAGAGCAGAGGCTGCTTTTCCTTAATCGCAACCTTGGAGAGGCACACACTGGGATCATCCTTCTAATGACCCAAGTGCCACACCCCTCTTGAGACAGAGGCCGAGGTCGGCACCCACGCGCTTGGCACGAGGAGCAAAGCGGCACCGGCTTGGTCGAGGGGCCCACTGCCTCTGCCCCTCCCGCTGCCGGGCCGCGGGGACCCGCAAGGGCTGGGGGCTGGGGGCGTCCCTGGCTGGAGCCGGGCGCCCCGTCCCGTCACCCCTGCCCTCCAGGGAGCACAGCTGGGCCCGGCTTGTGACCGTGTGGCCCACAGGAGCACCCGGTCCTCTGTGAGCTCACGGACGCACACACACCACACGCTCGGCCGCAAGCGCGAATCCCGGGGAAGAACCCAGTGGCTCTGTGACCTCGCCCTGAGTGCGACGCGGGACGTGTCCCTCCCTGGGAGCTCACAGGAGGAGGTACAGCCTCACTGCACGGCCAGCGGGGGCTCCGGCCACGGCCCCAGGCCCCCAGGCGAGCGTCCGGGACAAGCACACGCAGCACGCGGGCGTGGACGGTCCAGGGGCGGGGGCGGCCGGCCCAGCCCGAGGGTGGTTCTTGTTGGATGGTGGGACAACAGCTGGTGGTTTTCCTAACTGTCCTGTATTTTCCAATTTTTCTCCGGCGAGTGAGCCCATATCTAAGTCTAAAACCATTCACGAGCACGTCCGCTGAGCACACAGCACAAATGTCTGTCACACTTACACCAGGAACGCCTTAGACAAGCCGCGGTCCCCTACTTTGCCCCACGCGAACCCCTTAGACAGAACAGGGAAACGCCCTGCCCTCTGGGAGCTGACGGCCGGCGGCGAGGGGACCCGAGAAGGACCGTCTGCGGACGGAATACACCTGAAACACAATCAGTGAACCAAGATCCTGCGTTTGGGCTCCAAAACCGGGTCGACACCATGGAGGCCTCCTGGTCCGCCGGCTGGGCCCAGAGACACCTCGATGAGCCTGAGGACCTCGGGGCCCTGGGGTCGTGTGACACAGGCCTAGGCTGGGCAGGGCGCCTCCGAGGCTGCGGGCACGTCCCTGCCCCCACAGCTCAGGCCGCTCTGGGGGCTCACGCGGGGCCCCGCCAGGGGGAAAAGCAGGCTCGAGGACCGTGGCACCTGCCCGCCAATCCCCAGGAGCTGGGTCTGGGTCACCAGACAGAGGGCAGAGCCCCGCCAACGGGGTGGGGCGGTTTCTGGGGGGTTCCGAGTCTCAGTACTCAGGAAAGGTTCACAGTCATCCAGGAGGGGCCAGGAGTAAGGAGCGAGTGGATGCGGGGCAGTGCAGGAT